TTACCCTGCTCCATGTATAGTGTACATTACCCAGCTCCATGTATAGTATACATTACCCTGCTCCATGTATAGTGTACATTACCCAGCTCCATGTATAGTATACATTACCCTGCTCCATGTATAGTGTACATTACCCTGCTCCATGTATAGTGTATATTACCCTGCTCCATGTATAGTGTACATTACCCTGCTCCATGTATAGTGTATATTACCCTGCTCCATGTATAGTGTATATTACCCTGCTCCATGTATAGTGTATATTACCCTGCTCCATGTATAGTGTACATTACCCTGCTCCATGTATAGTGTACATTACCCTGCTCCATGTATAGTGTATATTACCCTGCTCCATGTATAGTGTATATTACCCTGCTCCATGTATAGTATACATTACCCTGCTCCATGTATAGTGTACATTACCCTGCTCCATGTATAGTGTATATTACCCTGCTCCATGTATAGTGTATATTACCCTGCTCCATGTATAGTGTACACTACCCAGCTCCATGTATAGTGTACACTACCCTGCTCTATGTATAGTGTACACTACCCAGCTCCATGTATAGTGTACACTACCCAGCTCCATGTATAGTATACATTACCCTGCTCCATGTATAGTGTACATTACCCTGCTCCATGTATAGTGTATATTACCCTGCTCCATGTATAGTATACATTACCCTGCTCCATGTATAGTGTACATTACCCAGCTCCATGTATAGTGTACACTACCCAGCTCCATGTATAGTGTACACTACCCAGCTCCATGTATAGTGTACACTACCCTGCTCCATGTATAGTGTACACTACCCTGCTCCATGTATAGTATACATTACCCTGCTCCATGTATAGTATACATTACCCTGCTCCATGTATAGTATACATTACCCAGCTCCATGTATAGTATACACTACCCAGCTCCATGTATAGTGTACATTACCCAGCTCCATGTATAGTGTACATTACCCTGCTCCATGTATAGTGTACATTACCCTGCTCCATGTATAGTGTACATTACCCTGCTCCATGTATAGTGTACACTACCCTGCTCCATGTATAGTGTACATTACCCTGCTCCATGTATAGTGTACACTACCCAGCTCCATGTATAGTGTACACTACCCTGCTCCATGTATAGTGTACACTACCCTGCTCCATGTATAGTATACATTACCCTGCTCCATGTATAGTATACATTACCCTGCTCCATGTATAGTATACATTACCCAGCTCCATGTATAGTATACACTACCCAGCTCCATGTATAGTGTACATTACCCAGCTCCATGTATAGTGTACATTACCCTGCTCCATGTATAGTGTACACTACCCTGCTCCATGAATAGTGTACATTACCCTGCTCCATGTATAGTATACATTACCCAGCTCCATGTATAGTATACATTACCCTGCTCCATGTATAGTATACATTACCCAGCTCCATGTATAGTGTACACTACCCAGCTCCATGTATAGTGTACATTACCCAGCTCCATGTATAGTGTACATTACCCTGCTCCATGTATAGTGTACACTACCCTGCTCCATGTATAGTGTACATTACCCTGCTCCATGTATAGTGTACACTACCCTGCTCCATGTATAGTATACACTACCCTGCTCCATGTATAGTGTACATTACCCAGCTCCATGTATAGTATACACTACCCTGCTCCATGTATAGTATACATTACCCAGCTCCATGTATAGTGTACACTACCCAGCTCCATGTACAGTATACACTACCCTGCTCCATGTATAGTGTACACTACCCAGCTCCATGTATAGTGTACACTACCCAGCTCCATGTACAGTATACACTACCCTGCTCCATGTATAGTGTACATTACCCAGCTCCATGTATAGTGTACACTACCCTGCTCCATGTATAGTATACACTACCCTGCTCCATGTATAGTGTACATTACCCTGCTCCATGTATAGTGTACACTACCCTGCTCCATGTATAGTATACACTACCCTGCTCCATGTATAGTGTACATTACCCAGCTCCATGTATAGTATACACTACCCTGCTCCATGTATAGTATACATTACCCAGCTCCATGTATAGTGTACATTACCCTGCTCCATGTATAGTATACACTACCCTGCTCCATGTATAGTGTACATTACCCAGCTCCATGTATAGTATACACTACCCTGCTCCATGTATAGTGTACATTACCCTGCTCCATGTATAGTGTACACTACCCAGCTCCATGTATAGTGTACACTACCCTGCTCCATGTATAGTGTACACTACCCAGCTCCATGTATAGTGTACACTACCCTGCTCCATGTATAGTGTACACTACCCTGCTCCATGTATAGTGTACACTACCCAGCTCCATGTATAGTGTACACTACCCAGCTCCATGTATAGTGTACACTACCCTGCTCCATGTATAGTGTACACTACCCTGCTCCATGTATAGTGGACATTACCCAGCTCCATGTATAGTGGACATTACCCTGCTCCTTGTATAGTGTACATTACCCAGCTCCATGTATAGTGTACATTACCCTGCTCCATGTTTAGTGTACATTACCCAGCTCCATGTATAGTGTACATTACCCAGCTCCATGTATAGTGTATATTACCCTGCTCCATGTATAGTGTACATTACCCTGCTCCATGTATAGTGTACATTACCCAGCTCCATGTATAGTGTACATTACCCAGCTCCATGTATAGTGTACATTACCCTGCTCCATGTATAGTGTACATTACCCAGCTCCATGTATAGTGTACATTACCCTGCTCCTTGTATAGTGTACATTACCCAGCTCCATGTATAGTGTACATTACCCTGTTCCATGTATAGTGTACATTACCCTGCTCCATGTATAGTGTACATTACCCTGCTCCATGTATAGTATACATTACCCTGCTCCATGTATAGTGTACATTACCCAGCTCCATGTATAGTGTACATTACCCAGCTCCATGTATAGTGTACATTACCCTGCTCCATGTATAGTGTACATTACCCAGCTCCATGTATAGTGTACATTACCCAGCTCCATGTATAGTGTACACTACCCAGCTCCATGTATAGTGTACATTACCCTGCTTCATGTATAGTGTACATTACCCAGCTCCATGTATAGTTTACACTACCCAGCTCCATGTATAGTGTACACAACCCAGCTCCATGTATAGTGTACATTACCCTGCTCCATGTACAGTATATATTACCCTGCTCCATGTATAGTATACATTACCCAGCTCCATGTATAGTGTACATTACCCTGCTCCATGTATAGTGTACACTACCCAGCTTCATGTATAGTGTACATTACCCAGCTCCATGTATAGTGTACACTACCCAGCTTCATGTATAGTGTACATTACCCAGCTCCATGTATAGTGTACATTACCCAGCTCCATGTATAGTGTACACTACCCAGCTCCATGTATAGTGTACACTACCCAGCTCCATGTATAGTGTACACTACCCAGCTCCATGTATAGTGTACATTACCCTGCAACATGTATAGTGTACACTACCCAGCTCCATGTATAGTGTACGTTACCCAGCTCCATGTATAGTGTACATTACCCAGCTCCATGTATAGTGTACATTACCCAGCTCCATGTATAGTATACATTACCCTGCTCCATGTATAGAATACATTACCCCTGCTCCATGTATAGTATACATTACCCTGCTCCATGTATAGTGTACATTACCCTGCTCCATGTATAGTGTGACGACATAATATTAGGTCACACCTATAATATTACGTCACTCCTGCTCCATGTATAGTGTTCATTACCCTGCTCCATGTATAGTGTTCATTACCCTGCTCCATGTATAGTGTACATTACCCTGCTCCATGTATAGTGTACATTACCCTGCTCCATGTATAGTATACATTACCCAGCTCCATGTATAGTGTAAACTACCCAGCTCCATGTATAGTGTACATTACCCTGCTCCATGTATAGTGTACATTACCCAGCTCCATGTATAGTGTACATTACACTGCTCCATGTATAGTGTACATTACCCAGCTCCATGTATAGTGTACATTACCCAGCTCCATGTATAGTGTACATTACTCAGCTCCATGTATAGTATACATTACCCTGCTCCATGTATAGTATTCATTACCCTGCTCCATGTATAGTGTACATTACCCAGTCCCATGTATAGTGTACACTACCCAGCTCCATGTATAGTGTACATTACCCTGCTCCATGTATAGTATACATTACCCAGCTTCATGTATAGTGTACATTACCCCAGCTCCATGTATAGTGTACATTACCCCAGCTCCATGTATATTGTACATTGAGGATTCGAACCCTTTAACTGAGTACTGCCAAGTCGTACACCTTACCTCTGGACCACAACACTGTATAAGTTATAACTCCTGGTATTCCACAACTCGACAAGACTTCTCGAGGGCCTTACTGAAGTGATTCAAGATGTCTTACGGATTGAGTGGACTCCCAGGTTGTACATCTTATACCATGTAGTGGCCCAGAGGCAAGGTGCGCGACTTGTGAGTATCCAGGTCAAGGGTTCGAATCCTCTGCATTGTTCCATTTGATTTGATTTTTTGTCTATCACGTAGGTGTTATTTCTTTGTGTGAATAATATTATTGAGAAAACCAATTAATTATATATACTAAAATAATTATACTGATAGCAATAATAAATAAAATTAAAATAATAATTTAATTTAATTCACTAATATGAATATTTTAATAACGGAGATAACTTGTAACTTGCGTTAACTGTTGCCGGATGCGGTTCAGGTTAATACTTTCCCCAGGGGACCTACTGACCAATAAGGTCTCCGATGACGCAGCGACGATGCTTCTGATTGGTCGAACTCATCCGTGACGTCACCAATATTGTAATTTCTGTCAAATACGCTTTCAGGGCCAACTGAGAGTGCCAGAGGATTACTTGAAGTGGCTTAAGATTAGGAGGTGTCAAGGGTGGCACTGTCTTATATGATGGCAACCCTGGCTTATATGTTAGCAACACTGGCTTATATGTTGGCTACACTGGCTTATATGTTGGCAACACTGGCTTATATGTTGGCAACCCTGGCTTATATGTTGGCAACACTGGCTTATATGTTGGCAACACTGGCTTATATGTTGGCAACCCTGGCTTATATGTTGGCAACACTGGCTTATATGTTGGCAACACTGGCTTATATGTTGGCAACACTGGCTTATATGATGGCAACACTGGCTTATATGTTGGCAACACTGGCTTATATGTTGGCAACACTGGCTTATATGTTGGCAACCCTGGCTTATATGTTAGCAACACTGGCTTATATGTTGGCAACACTGGCTTATATGTTGGCAACACTGGCTTATATGTTGGCAACCCTGGCTTATATGTTGGCAACACTGGCTTATATGATGGCAACACTGGCTTATATGTTGGCAACACTGGCTTATATGTTGGCAACCCTGGCTTATATGTTGGCAACCCTGGCTTATATGTTGGCAACCCTGGCTTATATGTTGGCAACCCGGGCTTATATGTTGGCAACACTGGCTTATATGTTGGCAACACTGGCTTATATGTTGGCAACACTGGCTTATATGTTGGCAACACTGGCTTATATGTTGGCAACACTGGCTTATATGTTGGCAACACTAGCTTATATGTTGGCAACACTGGCTTATATATTGGCAACACTGGCTTATATATTGGCAACACTGGCTTATATGTTGGCAACACTGGCTTATATGTTGGCAACACTGGCTTATATGTTGGCAACACTGGCTTATATGTTGGCAACACTAGCTTATATGTTGGTGGCAGGGACCAAGATAACGGTGTCAGGGACCAAGATAACGGTGTCAGGGACCAAGATAACGGTGACAGGGACCAAGATAACGGTGACAGGGACCAAGATAACGGTGACAGGGACCAAGATAACAGTGACAGGGACCAAGATAACAGTGACAGGGACCAAGATAACGGTGACAGGGACCAAGATAACGGTGACAGGGACCAAGATAACAGTCACAGGGACCAAGATAACGGTGACAGGGACCAAGATAACGGTGACAGGGACCAAGATAACAGTGACAGGGACCAAGATAACGGTGACAGGGACCAAGATAACGGTGACAGGGACCAAAATAACGGTGACAGGGACCAAGATAACAGTGACAGGGACCATGATAACGGTGACAGGGACCAAGATAACGGTGACAGGGACCAAGATAACGGTGACAGGGACCAAGATAACGGTGACAGGGACCAAGATAACGGTGACAGGGACCAAGATAACGGTGACAGGGACCAAGATAACGGTGACAGGGACCAAGATAACAGTGACAGGGACCAAAATAACTGTGACAGGGACCAAGATAACGGTGACAGGGACCAAGATAACGGTGACAGGGACCAAGATAACGGTGACAGGGACCAAGATAACGGTGACAGGGTCCAAGATAACGGTGACAGGGTCCAAGATAACGGTGACAGGGTCCAAGATAACGGTGTCATGGACCAAGATAATGGTGACAGGAGCAGTTAAGATGGAGAAGAGCAGTTAAGATGGAGAGAAGGAGCAGTTAAGATGGAGAAGAGCAGTTAAGATGGAGAGAAGAAGCAGTTAAGATGGAGAGGAGGAGCAGTTAAGATGGAGAGAAGGAGCAGTTAAGATGGAGAGGAGGAGCAGTTAAGATGGAGAGAAGGAGCAGTTAAGATGGAGAGAAGGAGCAGTTAAGATGGAGAGAAGGAGCAGTTAAGATGGAGAGAAGGAGCAGTTAAGATGGAGAGAAGAAGCAGTTAAGATGGAGAGAAGGAGCAGTTAAGATGGAGAGAAGAAGCAGTTAAGATGGAGAGAAGGAGCAGTTAAGATGGAGAGAAGGAGCAGTTAAGATGGAGAGAAGGAGCAGTTAAGATGGAGAGAAGAAGCAGTTAAGATGGAGAGAAGGAGCAGTTAAGATGGAGAGAAGGAGCAGTTAAGATGGAGAGAAGAAGCAGTTAAGATGGAGAGAAGGAGCAGTTAAGATGGAGAGAAGAAGCAGTTAAGATGGAGAGAAGGAGCAGTTAAGATGGAGAGAAGGAGCAGTTAAGATGGAGAGAAGAAGCAGTTAAGATGGAGAGAAGGAGCAGTTAAGATGGAGAGAAGGAGCAGTTAAGATGGAGAGAAGAAGCAGTTAAGATGGAGAGAAGGAGCAGTTAAGATGGAGAGAAGAAGCAGTTAAGATGGAGAGAAGGAGCAATTAAGATGGAGAGAAGGAGCAGTTAAGATGGAGAGAAGAAGCAGTTAAGATGGAGAGAAGAAGCAGTAAATTCTACGACTCAGGACAACATGTAAATGACCTTCTCAAGTCTCTAAACGACTTAATTGGCGTGTTTGTCTTGGGGAAGAGTTGGGAAGGATGACAAGGGAGCTTTGGTGTCAATGATGGGGGATAGGAGAGAGAAGGGAGGGGTGAGGGAAGGGATGAGGGAAGGGGTGAGGGAAGGGGTGAGGGAAGGGGTGAGGGAGGGGTGAGGGAAGGGGTGAGGGAAGGGGTGAGGGAAGGGGTGAGGGAAGGGGTGAGGGAAGGGGGTGAGGGAAGGGGTGAGGGAAGGGGTGAGGGAGGGGGTGAGGGAGGGGGTGAGGGAAGGGGTGAGGGAAGGGGTGAGTGAATGGGTGAGGGAGGGGTGAGGGGGAGGGAGTGGGTGAGGGAAGGGGTGAGGGAGGGGGTGAGGGAAGGGGTGAGGGAAGGGGTGAGGGAAGGGGGTGAGGGAAGGGGTGAGGGAAGGGGTGAGGGAAGGGGGGAGAGGGGTGAGGGGGGGGGGGAGGGAGTGGGTGAGGGAAGGGGTGAGGGAAGGGGTGATAGAGTGGGTGAGGGATGGGGTGAGGGAACGGGTGAGGGAGTGGGGTGAGGGAAGGGGTGAGGGAAGGGGTGAGGGAAGGGAAGGGGTGAGGGAGTGGGTGAGGGAAGGGGTGAGGGAGTGGGTGAGGGAAGGGGTGAGGGAGAGGGGGGAGGGAAGGGGTGAGGGAGTGGGTGAGGGAAGGGGTTGAGGGAGGGGGTGAGGGAAGGGATGAGGGAGGGGGTGAGGGAAGGGGTGAGGGAAGGGGTGAGGGAGGGGTGAGGGAAGGGGTGAGGGAAGGGGTGAGGGAAGGGGTGAGGGAAGGGGTGAGGGAAGGGGTGAGGGAAGGGTGAGGGAAGGGGTGAGGGAGTGGGTGTGGGATGGGGTGAGGGAAGGGGTGAGGGAGTGAGTGAGGGAAGGGGTGAGGGAGTGGGTGAGGGAAGGGGTGAGGGAAGGGGTGAGGGAGGGGTGAGGAAAGGAATGAGGGAAGGGGTGAGGGAAGGGGTGAGGGAAGGGGTGAGGGAAGGGGGGAGGGAAGGGGGGTGAGGGAAGGGGTGAGGGAAGGGGTGAGGGATGGGTGAGGGAGGGAGGGAGGGGTGAGGGAAGGGAGGGAAGGGGTGAGGGAAGGGGTGAGGGAAGGGGGAGGGAGAGGGGTGAGGGAAGGGGTGAGGGAAGGGTGAGGGAAGTGAGGGAGGTAAGGGTGAGGGAAGGGGTGAGGAAAGGAATGAGGGAAGGGGTGAGGGAAGGGGTGAGGGAAGGGGTGAGGGAAGGGGTGAGGGAAGGGGTGAGGGAAGGGGTGAGGGAGTGGGTGAGGGAGTGGGTGAGGGAAGGGGGGGGTGAGGGAAAGGTTGAGGGAGGGGTGAGGGAAAGGTGGGGAGAGGGTGAGGGAGGGGTGAGGGAAAGGTGAGGGAAAGGAGTGAGGGGGGGTGAGGGAAAGAGTGAGGAGGGGGGTGAGGGAAAGGTTGAGGGAAGGGGTGAGGGAAGGGGTGAGGGAAGGGGTGAGGGAAGGGGTGAGGGAAGGGGTGAGGGAAGGGGTGAGGGAGGGGTTGAAGGAAAGGTTGAGGGGGTGAGGGAAAGGGTGAGGGAGGGGTGTGAGGGAAAGGTTGAGGGAGGGGGTGAGGGAGGGGGTGAGGGAAATGGTTGAGGAGGGGGTGAGGGAGGGGGTGAGGGAGGGGGTGAGGGAGGGGGGTGAGGAGGGGGGGTGAGGGAGGGGTTGAGGGAAAGGTTGAGGGGTGAGAGGGGGGGTGAGGGAAAGGTTGAGGGAGAGGGGTGAGGGAGGGGGGTGAGGGAAAGGTTGAGGGAGGGGGGTGAGGGAGGGGGTGAGGGAAAGGTGAGGGAGGGGGTGAGGGAGGGGTGAGGGAGGGGGGTGAGGGAGGGGACCAGGGAGGGGGTGAGGGATTAATCTGGTTTAAGGAGTTTGGCTTGTGGCCTCACAGACTGAGTTACTGCGAAAAAGTGAAATTGGAACATTGCAGAACGGTAATGGGGGGGGAGAGAGAAGAGAGAGAGAGAGAGAGGGAGAGAGGGTAGGAGAGAGAGAGAGAGAGAGAAGGAGAGCCTGAGAGAGAGAGAGAGAGAGAGAGAGGGAGAGAGAGAGGAGAGAGAGCGAGAGAGAGAGAGAGAGGAGAGGAGAGAGAGAGAGAGAGAGAGAAATACCCCATCGTACATATATTGGGAAAATGGACAATTAGACAGTAGAATATGGTACTATTCATTTGATAGAATCCGGAAAAGATATAAGTAAAACACCAGCTTTAATATTCCTAGGCTTAGTATAGCACATATATGTCCTGTTAGGTCTTAAATAGTGTCTGTTAGGCCTATCATGATTAGGTTAGGTTAGGTTAGGTTAGGTTAGGTTAGGTTAGGTTAGGTTAGGTTTTATTTGCAATATAGAGAAAATATTTTCTGGTGGATTCTAATTCATGAGTAGAAAATTTTATTTTATAATTGTCCATTATGTCAATATATGTATGATGGTACACAATGAACTTAAGGTGCTATCTAAAGAGGATGACGGGCTGTTAAATGAGGTGCAGAATAAAGATTGGAAGAACACCTCTTCTTCAAAGGAAAGATTAAACAAGTGTGAAAATAAAATTTAATAATTTTGTTAATATGGAAAATATAATTAAACTTTCAATCTCTCTCTGTCTAAGAAGTCCACTACGGGCTCACCATAGCCCGTGCTACTTGGAACTTTTTGTTCCAAGTAGCGAATCTTAAACAACAACAACTCTCTGCCTTTCTTCCCCTTTCATTAGTAATTGTTCTGATGTTCCAAAATTAAACTTCAACCAACGTGCTGTTATCCTCTATCAGCTCATCTGAAGCCTGATCCTTCAAACTGACCTCTGTAATGAGATTATTAAATTAACTTCCGTTAGATTTAAACATTACTGAATATTTAGTGAGTCCTATTATGCACATGGTGAAGTTGGAGCCAACGGCGTACCAGAGCCTTCATTTGGTCTATTGACTTTATTTTAAACGTTCCTACGAGTTAATTAAACGTTTTCGGAATTCGAGTTAGCCTCAGAATGTATGATCAGAGACAGAGCGATGTTCTTCAGAGTAGCAGAGGCAGTATAGGAGCGTTGATAGATAAGTGTCCTGTGTTATAGTTTTCCTCATCTGAATGTCCTCGACGACAGACCAGGTTGGGAACCTTGAGAATATATCCCTGGAAACACAAACCGAAACCGTCTCTATTTTCCGCTTGTTACAACTTGTAATAAAGTTGTTACACCTTGGCTTAACGTGTTTATGACGTATTAGAACGTTGTTACAACTAGCTATATTGGTTGTTATAACTGGTTAGTAGGTGTTAAAACTTGTTCGAACGTTGTACCAACGTTGTAGTTTCGGTGTGTGTTTGGCGGGTATGAGCATTATTTAGGCCAGCGACATTTCTTCAGTGTTGATGTCTCTCATGTACTTATCAGTGCAACCTGAACAGGTCAAAATGTGATTCATCTCACTGTTTTTTTTTACCGTGTTCAAATGTCACATAATGGATTGTGGCAGGACATCGAGGAGAGCAGTGCATACTCAAGATGAGAGTGGACTTATTCATCACATAAAGTTTTGCATCCACTGTTGTCGAGAATTACGATAATCGCACGGCTCATGGTTTCCTAAACGGATCTACTTAATACAATTATTAGTTGAATTGTTGCCTCTTCCTAGTATTTCCTGGAATACCTATTCGGGTTTCCTATTCTTGAGTGGCTACCTTCCTATGGAGCCTGGAATTGTCTGCCCTGTGTGGCCCCTGTGAAGGGCATCCTGGAATATGTACGACTCCCTATCTCTCGTTTCTCCGGTGCTCATTCGAACTGCTGAATCCCACATCTGAAGTAACGGGAATATACAGACTCTATGTTACAAACAGTATCTCAGGTCCAGTAACCTGGTGGATAGCGCGCAGGACTCGTAATTCTGTGGCGCGGGTTCGATTCCCGCACGAGGCAGAAACAAATGGGCAAAAGTTTCTTTCACCCTGAATGCCACTGTTACCTAGCAGTAAATAGGTACCTGGGAGTTAGTCAGCTGGGGGTCAGTCCTGGGGGTGGAGGCCTGGTCGAGGACCGGGCCGCGGGGACACTAAAAGCCCCGAAATCATCTCAAGATAACCTCAAGATAACCAGAATTTGCTGCGGAGTTGTAGGGGGGAAACACTTATTCTTCATGCAGCCGGCAGCATTGTCTTTCCTGAGCCTCAGT